CAAAGGCGGCATTAAAAAATCTTCACGTGAAATAAACAAATATGGACTAAAATATATGGTAAATTTATAAGGAAATTTTATAGTGGAGTGAGGAGGTAAAAACATCTAAAAGAATAAATTTCATTTAAGAAATCGTTAAAGTTAAATGATATCAATGCGTGCAATAATTATTAAGAAACTAGAAGATCTACAAAGAGTGACAATAAGCATAGAAAAATCTTCAAATACAGATAATTTAAATTGAGATAGGCACTCATTAGTGAAAGGACATAAAATAGCTAATACAAGAAAAAAGGAAATAAATGACTTTGATCAAGAAAGATATGTTAAAAAGAATTAAATTTAGCAAAAAATTAATATGAATTGTTTGCACATAAAATTATGCTCAGTAACCTTATCATGAAGTTCTTTCCTGTCAAATATAATTGGCAAATAATTGTGGTCTAAAATGACACATTTTCTTATGAGCGTTTGTAGCTAAATGAATGGATCCATAAAGTGATGGCACCATGTGATGCGGGCATCCAACCATCCATGCCTATCCGAGGAGGAGCTGAAGATCAACGGCCGTCATCATCCCGCGTTATCATAAATTTTATTTGTAATTTTTTATTTTTATTATTAATTTTCCTTTTTTACCCTTACTTAAGTGGATCGTCCTATGTAAGCCATATGGGCATATGTGTCTTGTTTTAGTTTCTTAGACCTATATATAGAGGCCCCTGCTTGTGTAATGGAGGATGGATGATTATTGAAATGAAATTCAGCTTTTGTCATGATCTCTATGTGAGTTCTGAAGAGGAAAAGTCCTATGGGAGGACAACCTTGTTTCCACCAGCTGCAGGATGGATCCAGGCTCATAAATTCAAGTCCCTCGAGGAGGGCAATGTAGTACCCACCAGCCGCAGGAAAAGTCCAGGCTAGTGTTTTTTTTTTTTCCTCATCTCTAGTCTCCACCATTCACCATCCGTTTTTTATTTTATTTCGTTTGATTTTTGTTAACTTTTCTTTTGGATCAAACATCAATCCCTCCACAAGTCTTAACCGCTGGCCAAATCCCTCCATAGTCGTCGGCCATAAATCACTCAAGCCCCACCTGTTGGCTCTCCCATCACATCCCTGATCCCCCCCATCCAATTCCCTCCAAACTCCCTTGTTTCCTAAAATAGATTTGATTTAATTTGGAAATTATTTGATTTCAAAATTCAAAAGAATTTGAAATTCAAAAAAAAAAACTTCCTAATTAAATTTTCTAACTTTGGAAAGCCATTTAATTAATAATCAATCTAAAATCTAAGATTGATTATTGAATTAATTCAAATCCCCAAATACATTGCATCTAGACACCCCCAACCCTTTCTCTCTCCTAACTGAAATCCTCTTTGGTCCCACCTCCTTTAAATTCCTTCCATAAGGAAGCCTTCTCATTTGGAATTAATTTGAATCCTTTAATTTCCCTCCACCCATCAAATCAAATTTGCCATAACAATTGCTCCCCTTAAAGCCGTCATTATTTCCCCATTAAATCTTGCCCTAATTAGCTTACCAATTAAGACAAGGATTTAATTCCAGATTTCTAAAATTAAGTCTAGATTTTGAATTAAAATTCCCTCCTCTTCTAATACTTAACATCTGGAATTAAAAGCATTTCCCCTTCATCCACATAGTCGGCCCCTCTCCCTCATCAACAGTCTTCTCAATTACCCTTCCCAACCTCCTCCTCCCTCAAGAGGGGACCTCCCGTTTTACATCAGTTTGGTATCAAAGCATGGTTGCTCACTCGGGATGCGAACTCAATGGAGTCGAGCTCTTTTCCACCCCGGGAGAATGATGCGGGCATCCAACCGTCCATGCCTATCCGAGAAGGAGCTGAAGATCGACAGTCGTCATCGTCCCGCATGATCTTAAATTTTATTTGTATTTTTTTATTTTTATTATGAATTTTTCGTTTTTACCCTTACTTAAGAAAGTCGTCCTATGTAAGCCCTATCGAAATATATGTATTGTTTTAGTTTCTTAGGCCTATATACAGAGGCCATTACTTGTGTAATGGAGGATGGATGATTATTGAAATGAAATTCAGCTTTTGCCATGATCTCTGTGAGAGTTCTGGAGAGGAAAGGTCCTATGGGAGGACAACCTTGTTTCCACCAGCTGCAGGATGGATCCGAGCTCATGGATTGAAGTCCCTCGGGGAGGGCAACGTAGTACCCACCAGCCGCAGGAAGAGTCCGGGATCGTGGTTTGTATCATTTTTTTTTCTTTGTTCTAAGTCCTCTCATCTCTAGTCTCCACCATTCACCATCCGTTTTTTGTTTTATTTCGTTTGATCTTGGTTAACTTTTCTTTTGGATCAAACATCAATCCCTCCACAAGTCTTAACTGCTGGCCAAATCCCTCTATAGCCGCCGGCCATAAATCACCCGAGCCCCACCTGTCGGCTCTCCCATCACATCCCCCCCCCCTTCCAATTCCCTCCAAACTCCCTTCTTTCCTAAAATAAATTTATTTTAATTTGGAAATTATTTGATTTCAAAATTCAAAAGAATTAAAAAAAAAAACATCCAAATTAAATTTTCTAACTTTGGAAAGCCATTTAATTAATAATCAATCTAAAATCTGAGATTGATTATTTAATTAATTCAAATCCTGAAATACATTGCATCTAGACACCCCCAACCCTTTCTCTCTCCAAATTGAAATCCCCTTTGGTCCCACCACTTTTAATTTCTTCCATGAGGAAGCCTTCTCATTTGGAATTAATTCGAATCCTTTAATTTCCCTCCACCCATCAAATCAATTTTGCCATAACAATTGCTCCCCTTAAAGCAGCCATTATTTCCCCATTAATCCCATTAAATATTGCCCTAACTAGCATACAAATTAAGGCAAGGATTTAATTCCAGATTTCTGAAATTAAGACCATATTTTGAATTAAAATTCCCTCCTCTTCTAATACTTAACATCTGGAATTAAAAGCATTTCCCCTTCATCCACATAGCTGGCCCCTCTCCCTCATCAACAGCCTTCTCAATTATCATTCCCAACCTCCTCCTCCCTCAAGAGGGGACCTCCCGTCTTACATCACCATGACTTTTTTTAAGAGACATAAATAAAAGATGAAAATATTGTTCTGAGAAATTGATAAGTGATATTTTTTTAAGATATTCTTTTAGAAAAGAAAAATGAATTGATATGAAGTATACCATAAGATGCCCATCATGAATTGCCGAACTATTGATGATATTTAAAAATTTAACAAATATTTTTAAGGAAAATTTAAAGAGGAGGGCCTCAAATGACTTAATTTAATTTTTAGCCCATCTCTAAGGAAAAAAAGGACTTTTGAATTATGACGGTTATAAGTGAATCAAACCTATGAGATAAACAATAAAGTTATAAGAGTAAGTAAGGGATTATGGATAAGAAAATCAATTATTATCAAAAATAAATTTGATTTAATGCTAGGATGACTACAATAGAGGTATTTTTGCGTTGAGCTAATTAATGAAAATATATAAAGAGCAGCAAAAATATCTTAAAATGATTTTTATTAAATTAAAAAATGCATACAGCCAGCTGATTTTTTTTTTTTTTTGAGGCATTTAAAATGAAAAAAAAAACGTGATGGAATATATAATAAAACAATGACCAACGGTAGCATTTATTGATTGATGAGAGTTTTCAATCACATTAGATTTATCAAGGATTTAGTTCCTTTTTTGTTATAATTTGGTTATGGTGATGCTAACAAAAAGATATTCAAAATGAGCTAAATTGATGAATATATTTGTAGAACATATAATTTACATTAGTTTGACCTCTTCTAAGCATAAAGTTAGAACAATTGACGAATTTCAGAAACTAAAAAGGCTTTGAATTAGAAGCAGAGGCAAAATGTATAATATGAAAATTTGAATGAAGTTAGATTGATAATTGTGAGTCAATATCAATGGAAGTTCAAGTAATACTTTAGTGTGATAATTCTGAGTACCTTAGGACTGTTATACAAAAAGTATGCATATAGATGCTTAAATAGCATATAAATTTAAAACTAGAAGGTTGCAATGAAATAATAAAATATCATGAACAATTAAAAGTGAGTAACACGAAACCTCAATTAGGCCAACTAAACTATATGGATCAAACTGCAATGATTGCATAAGAGAGATGGTATGAGTTAACCTATTGATTAAGGTGACTGAAAAGCATACCACAGTAGTCTGGACTAAAATGGGGGGAAGATCAAGCAATATTGATAGTAGAATTAAAATAAAATTACTATGAATTATTATAGGTACACAGTGGTAAAATTGCAAGTCATTGTACATTGTTTGAATAAGAATTAACACTTTATAAGTAATTGGCTAGAATATATGCTACAGTATCATAAGGGCAAGCTGAAATTGTTGGAACGAGTCTTATAATGATGATGACGATGATAACAGGAACACTTTAATTTATGAACTCATCCTATGTCTCTCATTTGGATGCAATCTAGAAAGGCCATCATATGCAGAGAACTAGTTGCACCACATCATAATCCATCTCAAAAAGCATTAGGTAGCTTATAGTATGAAATAAACTTTTCGTGATAATATGTTTTTCAATCCTCTAGCCTATAGTAACCATTATCTTTTGCATTCTGGCGGCAGGAAAATTATAGCTTTGATCGAATCAAAGCTTTGAAGAAAGGTAAGGAAACAATTCCAATTCGCATGTACAACACAAACTTCTTGTATGATATATTTCTAAAAAATATCAAAATGAAGAAAGAAGTAACTAAACATAACCCAAATTCATTATTTATTATGAGCTTCCAAGGTGCTTGAACATTGCTTTACTGAAATTCTGTTATGAAGTCATGGATATTCATGGATTTTAAGCTTTGGTAATGCTCAAGTGAGAGCGCTCACCCAAAAGAGAATTGATCACAAAGAATGCTAGATGACCAAAACAATCATGAGACCAACTAAAGAAACCGGCAGTTTGAAGCTCACCGTGATTCAACAACCTATAGCTATGTGGGAGTACTGGCATAAAAGGACCAAGCTTCTGCCGCTCTGCCAACAACTCTGCAAGATACCTGCCGCACAGAGAAGCTTATCAGGAAATTAGTCCAACACACCCAAAAATTAGTCAACCAAGAGCTCAGACTCATGGTCAAAGAAATTTGCTCTAATCTCAACAAAGACATCCCAGTACTCCATAATGCACATAATGAGCAGGAAATATGCAGATCTCATAAAGAAGAACAACGGCAACCACTCGAGAAAGAGTAAAATAAAATTTAATGAATTCCCAGATCCACCAATGATCGAACTTCCATAACGAACAGTTCCCGGAGAATAAATTCAAACTACAGAACTACGACAGTGTTTACACATTATAGCATTACCAGAGTCGGAAAATATGTCCTACCAAACCCTAAACCAGAGACAAACAGCACATCAAGCTGAATCTTGAACCCAACACTCAGCGCCAAAAAAACCAACAATACTGAATCTTCCTTTGAATCTTAAAACAGAGACAGAACAATGCGTCGTCATCAGTAGGGATCTCCTAAAGGTAACATCTCCCCTCAGTAGATCCATTCCAAATGGAACCAAAGAACAATAAAGCTAGACGAAAAGTACCCTAACGACAGTAGGTTTTTCCCGTAAAAAAGAGCGATAGAATTGAAGCTTACTTCTCCTGCTCGACAAGGGCGTTGGTTGCAGACCGAATGCCCGGGATGTGTGGCGAGTGGGGAGCGGAGGGCGAAGGGGAGTAGGCCATGTACCTGCCGGAAGACATGGTTTCCGGCGCGATCCACAGCGTACTCCGGCGAGATCCCGAAGCCCTAATGGATTCGAGTACTCGGCACAGATACTGGTAGGGTGGCGGGGCAATTGGGCATCAGTGATTGGAGCAGCAGAGATGAAGAAATATATATATATATGAGAGGGTAAATGCTTTTACTCTCCAGGTTTAAAACTTAAAAAGCCTCATATTTTAAAATCGAAGCATTAGATTTTTTTTTTTTTACATAAGTACCAAAAAAACTTAATATTATGTAAATTTATTTAAAGATTTATATTTATTCATATAACATTCAAAACTTTAAATTAAATAAAATAATATTAAAATTAATATATTTAAAATAAAACTAATATTTAGATAAAAAATAAATATTATTAAAATTTATTTTTTTTTGTTTTTTCTAATGGTGAAATACAAAATAAATAATGATTTGCAATGAAGGGAATATATTAAATTTAAGCATTTTTTTATTATCGTTCAAGCATATGCAGGACATTTAGGGTGTTGTTTAAAAATTATGTGAAGTATTTTAAATGTTTGAATTTTGACAATATTGATGTTTGATTTGATGTAAAATAAATGCATTATAAGTTTTTTTTTTTTTTTGTT